GAAATATGTTTTGTGGCCGCGGCCGCGTTGGTCAGGTGCCCGTTTTACACAGTTAAATTATATAGAAAAAACGCAAGGGGGGATATGGAAAGTGTCCGTTTGTACAGGTGGCCATCTTATAGAGGTGGCCGTCAGGGCAGGTTCGACTGTATATTGTTAACATTCGGAAAGTAAAAATTATGCTGATGAAACGTATTCGCTTGAGATATGTAAAAGCAGAAGACACTTGAAAATAATTTAATGATGGGGGAGCAAAGAATAACACCTGCAGTGATACTGCTTGTCGTGAGAAGCAACTAAAGACTAAAGGTACGTAGATCAGGTCTCCCCAAAAGAGACAGTACAGTTTGCAGAGGGCCAACTACCCAACCCTGTAAAAACTGAAAGTTATAGAAACACGAACAAACATGCCTATTTAATTTTCAATCTTGGGAGATACAGAAGCTTCTGCAACCACAAGAACAATGAAGGACAGTGGACAAAGTCGAAAGGACTCCCCTGACCCGAAACCTTCTCGGTCAAAAAATGGGAAGACATGGAATAACATCAAGAAGCTAGCTCAGAATAGGGAAAGGTGGAAAGTGTTTGGTCGTGGCCTATACCCTGACCCGTGGGTGAGAAAGGCAGTGATGATGATGATGATGCTGACGCTGACGATGATAATGATGATGATGACGATCCAACTACGACACAGTTCTGATTCATTGATAACAAAGAAAAGAAAATAAGGCCACAACAATTTATTTAAAGTTATTGTGTAAAAGTAAAAGGAACAACAACAAAAACCATCACTCAAAAAAGTAAACTGCTGGCTTTGCTTGTACACAAGGCATACAAACGAACAATATGAGAAACTATTTGAACTTGAACTCTGAGTGCTACTCTTTGATGCTGTGTTTAAAAAGGCAGTAGATTCTTTAGGTTGCTAAAAAATTGTGCTGTTAAGGCAGTCTTTACAGTGGTTACAAATAAAAAGTGAATAATTTCATAAAATGCTTTAAATCAAGTTTCAAGAACAATTAAGTCAATTTATACTGTAAATCAAATTGTATTAGACTGAAGTTGACAAAATTTCAGCCTTATAATCAGGCAGATGAATGAATACGACTTTTGTAGGTGTATTTAAAAAAAAAGGATAAAATACTTTTGATGATGCTGAATACAAAATCAAGGTATGCACAAAATCCTTTAAAAAAACATGACATCTTTCCTGAGTTAGTAATGTTAGTGTTACTACTATTAGAGCATTAAATATGAATATGAAACAAAGCAACCCATAACATTCAAATGAAATAGAAACAATGCAACAACTCTAGATTCTTTAATGTTATGCCCACAATGCATGTAAAACTTCTAATGATACTTTAAAGTAAGTTATAAATATTATCAAACCCGTTTGATTACTTTGTCATTTTTCGAAGAGCACCATAAAAATTCTGTTGAATGAAAACCCAAGAAACAGCACTGTGATGTTGGTCAAAAGTGCACTGGGAATGTAACTTTGTAGAAGAGGAAAAATTTGATTAACATACCATGCCAACAAACCAGGACCATAATGGGAGGGAAGGAGAGTGTCATTTTGTTTATACATTTTTCAATAATATGCTCCGTCAGGAGGGAAATGTTGGCAATACAATGGCAGAAGTTTAACAACCTAACCCTCAATAAATATTTAAATGCATTACCGGTATAATTCAAGATCCCAGAGAAAACAGGTCAGTATAACAACTGAATACTCCAAGTCCTTTGCATATAATACAACGTAGATTACCTTCGTTTTTACACAATGAGAAGAAAATCAGGGTACAGAAACATTTTTCTTAGCTCAAAAGTTGTACTAGACCAAAATTCATATTTTTATGGATTCATTTTGTAAGGCTACATTTTACAGAACTGGAGTCCTTTATTAACCCTATCCATATGTCATGTTTTACTATCGTATCCATAAGAGGTGGGGAACTCTGTGCCACCACTTTCTAGAGAGGAAATTTACTTGTTAATCCGATCCGTACACTTTTCATAGCAGTCTGTCAAAATGATTTTTTGAGAAATACTGAAAGTTTCAAAGAGATCTTTGTACACTGTACTAGAAGTATTCTAAAATGTGAAGAATACAACCCCGGGGGTACAAAATGACCCCAGGGCGTAGGAATACGTTAATCAAAAGATTTCTTTTTAACAAATCAACAGAGAGGTTAGATTAAAAACTACAGATTTGCGCAGTGACATCATGCATGTCAGACCTGGGGGCCTTGTTGCACTTAACAGCATGGCCAGCATGTTCCCATTTTTAAAAACAATCTGAGCTGCCACCCTGCTCCACAAGAGCTCTAGTAATCCCTGCCCAGCCCCTACATTTCAGTGCAGCTTGTAGATTTTCTCTAAAGACGGTCAAGACGTATCCACATGAATCTCAAAAAGTGCTCACCATTTATTGTTCCTTTTGTTACCAAACAGTGTGCCAGACAAGGCATACACAGCCCTCATTCATTTACATCGGTGACATCACTGCCACAAGCTCTCTCTCTCTATATATGACCTCTTTGTAAACCAAATAAGAAAAAGTAAGTATAACAATATTGGTGAAATGGTATAGGTTTAACGCCCCTATCAACACTATTAGGTTATTTAAGGGGCGGGACCTCCTAGTTTAACGTCCGTCTCCGATAGGACCGAGTCAAGTGGGAAGATCGTGTAAAACGCCTTTCCCAAGGACACAACGGGAATAACTGAAAAATATATCATAGTATATAATTCTATTTTACACACAAATCATAATATAATAACACACCAAAAAAAACCCAAAATAAAATTATTGCGTCTTTCTAAAAATAGGCAAATAAAAACACTATTTAAAAACTGATGAGCTTTTGATCCAAAAGCGAGATGAATCTCACATTTATTTATTACATGCACATGATAAAGTGCGTACACAATGTTTTAGGACTGTAAAACACGTCCCTGTAACAGAACACATTTGTTTGAGTAGGCAAGAGGTGACAAAATATTTTTTAAAGAGATGTCCTCATTGACCTTTCTTATTTAGATAGAAATTACTTTTTTGTCTACCTTCTCGATTAACAGACAAAATATCACTCTCATATTCACAATTCCATTCAGTAATACGAAAAAAAAAAATCCAAATACTTGTTCAAAAGTCTTGCCATTTTTTACTTCTTCATGGCTACTTCGACTCACTGTTGACAGTAGTTGTTGTAAGGTATGACTCATCTTTCCCATCAAAATATGTCTCTTTAGCTGATTTAGGAAGCCGATAGCAAAAAAAGACTATGTAAATTTATATTATATATACAGTGGTCTCCGGCTCATAGTAGGCACCTCCGGTGACAATAAGAGCGTGGGTTTTTTTAAAAACATAAGTGAATGTAAAAGGGGAGTAATCTTGAGTAAGTATTTTGTTGAATTTAATTGATTGCTCATACCCAAGTCCACTGTGTGGTGCATCATGGATTACTGTGAACCACCTCACATCTGACCACCTGCGGAGGGTTGCGTCATTGTGCTGAATTTTCCGCGAGGTGTGAAATGTTTCTATGCCAAGTGATCACGAACAATGACCATCATAATTACAGCACAGCCCTCTCACACTGTCTGTCCACCATGCATGTCCGGTCACTGGCTTTTCGTCATTGCACAATTTTGTCTCATATCTTGTCCCTATATGTCTTTCCTCCGTGGCAAATTTGCAAAATAAGTAATAGAGGAAAGCATCATGTAATGTTTGTTTCACTTCCATCAGTTCCAAGTGAGACAAGTCATTTTATGGGCGATCTGTTTCTGACACTAGCACGCAAACAATTGTGGTATATTAGACAAAGCTCTCAATTTGGAATGTGCACTTATGAGTGATATTTCTAACAGGAAAATTTATGTTCCATGCTGCCAGCATGCTTTAGACAGACCATGCTTTTATCCGGCATGCTATTAGCCAGAGACCGCTGCACTTGTACCCACATTTCGTATCAGTGTTTCACGGGTGATTGAAACCAATTCGTTTGTAGACCTATTTCAGCCCTAGTGAACTTCCAATCTTATACAATCTGTTTCATAAAATTTTGGTTATGCCAAAATATTATCAGTGAAACAATACAAGCATAAATTATTATGTCGTAGGTAGAGGTCATATAAAAGGAAATAATAAAATTCAGTACAACATTTATTAGGGGATAGTAATCTGTGCATAGATTTATGAAATATCACATTCAACTAATCATGATGATGCTCAGTATAGAGACAATATGTAAAACTTAAATAGTTTCCCCCCTCGATCAAACAACTCCAAGTACATCAGGCTTATGACAAGTGTCATTCATCTTATTTTGAGACTTTGTTATAGATGTTACGAGATAAAGATCATAATTTTCTAAAATGAACAATGAGTCTAAGCTTGAGAACACAGCTTTGAAAAACTCAGAATTTTTAGGAAAACTGCTAGTCAGTCCACAGGTAGGCTACTTCTTAAAAAATCTGATTATAATGTATAACAAAGGGCATTTGAACAGTAGGTTCATAATGCACAGTATATGACAAATCTTTTGCAGATTAAAATCTTTGACAGAAATGACCCATTGCCAAGATGACATATATTTCGGGTTCATAATACCTGGTATTAGTAAGGAAGAAAAATAAACACTTGAGGTGAAAAGGATAAGATAAAAATGTAATGTAACTTTATTATCCAAAATACAACTTCAGTTTGTTTGTAGAGAAATAAAGGCACCACAAATCACATTTAGTTCACAACACAATAAATCACTCTTCTAAGATTTAAAAAAAATCACAACAGAAAACTCTATATGTGATGTATAGATTTTAAATTTAAATATATGGTATATGAATATAAAATATGTGGTTTAAAGACAGGGAAAAAATTTTATCATCAAAATAAGATTTTCAAAGAGTCTATTCCGAAGGAACATCCACCATTTGATCAGCAGGCGCGCGACGATACCACTCGACCCAAGACCCGTCATACATAGCTGCATCTTCCTTGCCACAAAGATAGGAAGCCAGGACAAGATTGCTCGCTTGCAAACCTAAATGATGAAGAAGTACAATGGGTGGAGATATTAAAACTGACTGGTACATATATTCAATTTCTGTGACAGATTGAAAAAAAGATGAGAGGGAGAGAGAGGGGGAGGGGGGGGAGA